CTCAGTTTTGTGTTTGAGCTGGGATTATTCACACTCAGATTTGTGTTTGAGCTGGGATTATTCACACTCAGATTTGTGTTTGAGCTGGGATTATTCACACTCCTCCAGCTTTGTATCCAAACTCCTGTTTTTTGCTTGACCCGGGATTATCCAAATTTGCCTTTGTGCTTGAGCTGGGATTTGCTGCAATTCCCAAAACCAGCTCCCCCCCAGTGCTGGATTTTAGTTTGAGCTTTTCTCCAGAGGCACTACTTGAAAAAATAAAACTGGAATTAAAGCTAAGCCATAGTGAGTGCCGGGCCTGCTCGGGAAGGGGCGCCGGGAATTTGGGAGAAGTTTTTGTGGGAGCAGCCCTGGGGTGGGGGCTGCGTGAGGACCCCCGGGAGCACTGCCTGCCTGGATAAAGCGGAAAGAAATAATCAATAAAAAATAAATGAAACCAATCAATTCCTTTTTGTGCCCTGCAACGGTTCTTGAGCTGTCCTGGGAATGGAGCGGGGCTCGCTCTTAATGCTGGGTTTTAAAGGTGGGTTTTAAAGCTGTTTTAGCAAAAAAGGTTTAAAGGTTTGGTTAATAGAATAATGATTTAGCATTAGTCTATTATATACATATCTAATGATATCTTCTTACATTTTAATAATTATATAATTATACATTATGTATTATTATATAATATATTATATTTAATACATTATTATATATTATATGATTATAAAATTGTGTTTTATATTTATATATTTAATTTTATATAAAATACTAATATATCACATCTATATTTCATATTTCTATATGTTTTTAATATAATTATATATATTTAATATTTCCATATAATTATATATATAATTTAATCTATTATATTTATAAGTAATTATATCTATTCTATCTATAATATAAATAATGTATATTATATAATTATATCATTATAGTGATTATGTAATTATATAATTAAAGAATATATTAAATATAAATATTAAACGATATTAAGATATAATTATATAATGACACTAAGTTATGTTTTATATCATTATTTATAGATCTAATTCTCCATATTGCTGTATCATTCTGTATTTTTATATTTCTTTTTTCAATATTGCAATGCTCTCAGCCTGGTGGTTGGAGGTTTTTATTGGGTTGTGTCAGTGGGAAATACAAACGGTGAACGCGGCGCCGGGCTGGGCTGGGCCTGGCCACAGGGAGGGCATTAAACCGGGATTAAATCCTTAGACCTGGCCTTAAACCTGTGTGGAGTGTGCTGCAGAATCACAGAATTAAACCGGGATTAAATCCTTAGACCTGGCATTAAACCTGCGCTGAGCACGCTGCAGAGTAACAGAATTAAACCGGGATTAAATCCTTAAACCTGTGTGGAGTGTGCTGCAGAATCACAGAATTAAACCGGGATTAAATCCTTAAACCTGCGCTGAGCACGCTGCAGAATCACAGAATTAAACCGGGATTAAATCCTTAAACCTGCACGGAGCACGCTGCAGAATCACAGAATTAAACTGGGATTAAATCCTTAAACCTG